TTCTCGTGTAGCTTCATGTGATAAACTTGATTTAAATCCATGTTGAGTGCATCTAGCATCACGTTCGTTCCGCACCATTCCAAGGAAAAATCTTCACTCCGTATCAAATCTGGGGTGATTTTTGACATGAAAGAATGATATCTTTCAAGTTTCCATTCTCTCCAAGTTTGCACCATTATCAATTCTTTCAACAGCTCCGGATCATCTTAAATGAGAGCTGAGTTAAAAACTATAGGTCCTGCACTTCCTTCGGCTGCAGATTGACTCGAGAGCCTTCTTTGTAGATCATTCGAAATTTGCACCCCTCAACTCCTGCAAATTCCATTCTTGTAGTATCGTCAACTCCTTCGGCCAACAAGTTTGGTTCGGCATATTTGATCGGAACAACTGCCATAGCCGTACTGATGGCTTCTTGATCTCTTCCTGATCGATTGCTTGGTCCCATTTGATTACTTGAGGTTGAGATTGCTTTGCTGTTTCTCGGTCTAGAACTCTGAGGTGTTTTTGAACTTGTAGAACTCCCACCTTCTTGTCCTCTTCTCTGGCTTGACCTTTTTCCAAAATTAGGACTGAATTTTCTGAAGAGAGCTCTGTAAATTCCAATATTTTTGTGTTTTCTCATTGGAATTGTCTTCTTCCTTAGCAGTTCTCCAATGATAAGACCATATCCAACATTTTGATAGAATCGGTCCACTACAGCGGGTTTCTTCATTGGTTTGGCAGCATGAACAAAAATAACCATCTTCCTGTAGATAAATTTTGCCCATTTGAATTTTATTCCTTTCATGATTCCGTCCATCAGGCTCACTGTTGACGCGGTCAAATCTTCAGTACTTCCCAGTTTGTGTTCAAGAATCTTGTAAATCATGTCCACCAACATCTCGTATTCAAACTTCAATACATTCTTATTAGCGGATACATCAGAGAAAATTGGAGCCGTAGGACCACGAATCTCGTTCCAAAAATTTTGAACAACATAGCTGTGAGATTCTGGCATTATCTGAGATTCAGGAAAGTTGAAGCACTTGTGTATGTCATCTTCAGTGATCGAAACTTCTGATCCTCCAACTTTAGATTTAATCAAGTCCTTTTCAACGACTGCATGTAGATAAAATTCGGCTACATCTTCTTCAAAGGTTCCAAAGTAGATGTAGGTGAAGAAATCAAACAGTCCACAGTCTTTTAAAGCTTGAAGAATTTTCTCGGCCGTGTCCTTATTGGTAGAACCTAGTTTGAAAAACTCAGGATTGAGTACCATCCCATTCGTCACTTGTTGCGAGAGGGCAAAAATAGGATCAATTTGCTTTCTTCCAGATTGGGCCATGATGATCAGATCGATTGATCGAGGAGAGATAATTTGAGAGAGAGTTTTCTGATATTCTGAAGGTCTTGAAAGAGTTTTTGAGATATAAGAGAGGGGTTTATATGATGAGGATGACTCGAAGGGGTTTTTCGAATTTAAGAGAGAGAGATGAGACTTCTCAATTGTACCCTTTGGTTGAGGTGTGTCGATTGGGTGAGTTTAGGGTAGATGAGTCATCTGATAGATAGTGTTACGAGGAAAGAGAAAATGTCATCATAAGCAGACAATAGCATTTAATGCTCACACCTCTTTAGAAATACCCAATGCACGTAAGGTGTAGAGGGTGGAGATTTGAAGAGACACTTAGGAAGGATTTGGGTTCTGATCTCCTTGAGATTTGTTTGTGGGGATCGATTAAGAGAGTAGATTTCTGACAGGCGAGATGGGGGTGTCGATTGAGAGAGGGGGTAAATCTTGTTTGGAAAGATTTGATTTAGGAGAGGATTATGGGGGGAGGTTTAGAAAGGGTAGGAGTTTATGGGTGGAGGTTTGATGCCCAATTAAACTCTAATTTTCCTCCTTTATCTCCTGATTTCCTTCTCAAATTCGTGTACCACAACATAATAACACTCAAACATCTCGTTAGTAGCAAAAATTACTCCACAAATAATTAATCACACATACCAATTATATTAAACTCATACACGGTAATTTCCAATAAAAAATTAAACACATTTTGGAAAATTAACAAAATTAACATTCATATTCCAATTAACATTTAGAAACATCTTTATAATTGACACACAAATCAGATTCCAAAATATTTTAGAAACTAACAAAAATATTAACTTCTAGATTTCTAAAACATTTTATTGTAAATTATATCACATATACTGCATATATACGAAACACATATACAATTAACACATTAAATCACATTTTGCACATAACACATATATATTATTAAACAAACACGGTAAATCATTTTTAGAGCAAATTGTTCATGCAAACAAGTTAGTTAATTTACAGAAACATGAACACATACTCAAAAACTGATTTAGCACATTAAAACATGCAATTTTAAACAACTTATCAAATAAATCACGAATTGCACATTTCATCAAATTAATTTGCATGGCATATGATCTCACGTTATATAACACATGCAAATGCACAAATAAGATCCTAACACATATTGCAATTTTATCACATAAAAATTTCAAATAAAAACATAAATGCAAATACGTAAAACAATTTATTCACATAAAACAATTTATTTTGAGCACAAGTATCAATTTAAATAGAGAGATTAAGTCCAGTGATACTTAGCTCATTTCGATCATTCCCAACTCGTGCCTTAAGGTAGAAAATCTCGTTTCGCATAAAGGCTTTGTGAGAATATCAGCAACTTGGTTTTCCGTAGGGATATATTCGATCTTCAGATTTTTCTTTTCAACGTGATCCCTTATGAAGTGATGTCGAATGTCGATATGTTTGGTACTTGAGTGAAGCACCGGATTGTGAGTGATAGCGATTGCACTAGTATTATCACAATAAATACTAACGCCATCACAATTAACTCCATAATCCTTCAATTGTTGCTTCATCCACAAAATTTGCGCACAACAAATTCCTGCAGCAATATATTCAGCCTCGGCGGTACTAGTTGCGATGGAATTTTGCTTCTTGCTGAACCAAGAAACAAGCCTTCCCCCCAAAAACTGGCATGTCCCGGAAGTGCTTTTTCTGTCTATTTTGCAACCTGCAAAATCCGCATCTGAAAAACCCGTTAGAGTAAAATCTGTACCTTTTGGATACCACAATCCAACATTGATTGTGCCTTTCAAATATCGTATGATTTTCTTTGTTGCGGTGAGGTGGCTTTCTTTTGGATTTGCTTGGAATCTTGCACACACGCCCACAGCATAAGAAATGTCCGGCCTACTTGCAGTAAGATATAGAAGTGAACCAATCATTCCTCTATATTTTGTTTGATCGACATCCTTTCCATCTTCATCTTTGTCTAGCCTTATTGATGTGCTCATTGGAATTTTGATCGATGATTTTCCATCAAGGCCAAACTTCTTTATCAAGTCGCGGGTGTACTTTGCTTGATTGATGAATACTCCTTCTTTCAATTGTTTGACTTGTAAGCCCAAGAAGTAATTCAATTCACCCATCATGCTCATTTCGAATTTATTTTGCATAAGCTTCGAAAATTTCTCACACAAAGAATTGTTAGTGCTTCCAAAAATAATATCATCAACATATATTTGCACTAATAAAATATGATCACCATCTTGAATTCTAAATAGAGTTTTGTCAACAAGGCCTTTGGTGAATCCACAGCTTATTAAGAACATTGACAAAGTATCACACCAAGCTCTAGGTGCTTGTTTCAACCCATACAATGCCTTTTTAAGTTTGTAGACTTTATCACCTTCGCCTTTTACCTCAAAACCTGGGGGTTGTTCGACATAAACTTCTTCTTCGAGTAGACCATTCAAGAATGCGCTTTTCACGTCCATTTGATAAACGGTGAAATCTTTGTGTGCGGCGTAGGCTAGGAAAATTCTGATTGCTTCAAGTCGAGCTACCGGTGCAAAAGTTTCATCAAAATCTATTCCTTCTTCTTGAGAGTATCCTTTTGCAACGAGCCTTGCTTTATTCCTAACAATCACGCCTTCTTCGTTTGCTTTGTTCCAGAAGACCCATTTGGTTCCTACAACATTGTGGTTCGCCGGTCTTGGAACAAGTTCCCAAACATCATTTATTTTGAATTGATTGAGCTCTTCTTGCATAGCGTTTATCCAATCCAGATCATTGAGAGCTTCGTCAATTTCTTTTGGTTCAATCTGAGATAGATAACACGTGAACAATGCTTCAATGGTAAATGATCTTGTTTTCACGCCTTCATGGATATTCCCAATAATTAATTCTGAAGGGTGATTTTTGAACCATCTTAAATCTGGTTCAAATGGGTGCATGGTACTGGGTGGATCCATTTGTTGTGTACTGGGAGAGTTGGTTCGAATTTCCACATTTAATTCATTTTGTAATTGACCACCAACTTCACCAGTAACTTGATCACTAATTGGAACCCGTACTGCATCCTCATTATCACGTGAGGCATCACTCCCAAAATTATTATTAAAAGAATTTCCAACTTCTTCTAGATGAGGGATTAGGCCTGTGCGTCGGACGGTTCGGTTCGGTTCGGATACTCGGAGGGCCAAACCGCACGGATTTCGGATTATTATTTTTAAACCCAATCTCATTGTATCAATTTGTAAAATCTTTTCGGTTTTATAGGATTTCGGTTGAGGACGGGTTGGTCGAATATCCGAATGCATCTCGGATATTTAAAATATAAAAATAAAATTAAATAATTGACTAAAACGTGTAAAAATTAAGTAAAACTGAAAAAATTTACAAAAACATGTAGTGCACTGTGCACAAACTACATGTAAAGCTACTAAACTAGACAACTAGTACTTAGACAGTTAGACTCCAAAAAGTCAAATGGGCAAGGGCAATTATGAATTTGCTTATACAAAATGTAAAACTGTAAAAGTAGCCAATTTCTAAAAAACACTGCAGCAACCACCATTGCACCAAATTACCAAAATTACAGTAATTCAAAAAATATCCAAGTTCCTAGCTCAGATTGGTCAGTAGTTCCTACTTTAGCTCTAGCCTACTGTTCTTCTTCTTCCTGTCAATACTCAAAACTTAAGATGAATTAGCAAAAACAAAATAAGTTATAAAACTATAAAAGGTAGAAAATAAGATATTAAACATTGGCTCAGTAAGCTTTTTGTCCATATCAAAGTTAGGATTAAAGGCAAATTGCTACAACATCCCCATGAGGATAGAGCAACATACCAGCTTAATCCCTTATTTCAGATCATTGGTGGAAGCTTTCATCATCGCCATAACAAATAGTTAAATTATTTAAAGTCATAAATACATAATACAATGATACATTACCAGCAGTACAGCACCCTTGAGTCCAACAACAAACTTACCAACTAACAGTTATACCACTGTGGCACTGTCCAATGCACCAAGGTCCAAGGGCAGCAACCAACAAGTTAGTAAGTTACCAAGCGTCATTAGGACAACTGGACAACTAGGCAGCAACTAATTACTAATTAGTTACCAAGCCTCATGAGTCACGAGTAATACAGTATACAGATTACATTAATGCAAGAATATAAAGTAGTATAAAGTATAAAGCATAACACTACAGGAATCGTAGGAAGTGTAGAACCACCAATCCTCCCAGCTCCACTCCCACCATCAGCACCCAATTCTGCAAATACAAGGACAAGTTTAAAATAAAAGTAAATAGAAAATGCAGGAAAGTTAAGTGTTAGTATGTTACCTTGTTCAAATCTCTCCAATTCCTCCAGATTTTCCTCAATTGATATGGGGGTATTAGGCAGTCTAAGCCAATCCTGAGTACAAACCAGAGCTTCCACAATTTTAGGAGTTAAAGAACTCCTAAAAGGATCTAAAACCCTCCCTGATGTACTGAAGGCAGATTCTGAGGCAACAGTGGATATTGGTATAGCTAAGACATCCCTAGCTACTTTTGAAAGGATAGGAAATCTTTCAGCATTCAGCTTCCACCATCTAAGTATGTCAAAAGAAGATTCTTCTTCAGCTAATGCCTCAGCAAGGTAAATTTCCAACTCAGTTTTTTTCTTTCCCCCACTCTCCATTCTTTGTTTCTTAATCTGGGACTTTAACAAACCCTGGGGCTTCCCAACATTAGACTGTGAAGAATCAGTAGAAAAGATGACAGAAACAGTAGGGAAAACAGTAGAAGGAATCACAGGAGCAATAGGGACAACAGAGGCAGCATAATCATCAAACAACTCTGTAAAAGCTGCAACCACTTTCTCATAGTAGGTTTTACCTTTTAACTCACCATACATGTGTAAGATCTGTGCTGGCATGTACTCTAATTTGTCCCTGGGGTCAAGAATGTTTGCAAAGAATATCATCAAGTTCATCTTATCTATATCCCCCCAATACTTTTCAAATTTAACCTTCATAGTTTCCCCCATCAATTTCACAGAACCACCAGCTTCCACCATTCCATTCAATAGGCAATATAAATCAGAAATTTCAGAAAAAAAAAAGTGTTAGATGTGACATATAAAGAACCTGAAATTCTTATTGTCATATCATAAAAACACTTCAACAGATTCACCAAACTCTTCACAGACTCCCAATCAAGAAAGTTAGGAATAGAATCACCCAAATCTGATTTGAAGGAAGAATCACTTTCTTCAAGTGAATAAAACACTTTCTCATAAAATACTGCAGATTGTAACATAAGATATGTAGAGTTCCATCTGGTTGGAACATCTAGACACAGAGAAGATTTCTTTTCAATCCCAAGCCATTCAGACAAGTCCTTAAATTTCTTAAGTCTAGCAGGTGAACTTCTCACATACCTTACAGCATCCCTAACCTTCTTCACAGAATCATCACACTGTTTTAGCCCATCTTGCACAACTAAATTCAAAATATGGGCAATGCATCTCATGTGAATGTACTTGCCCTTCACAGTAGATGTTCCCCAAGACATCAATTTCTTTTTTAAAAAACCTAGGGCAGTGTCATTTGATGATGCATTGTCCACTGTAATAGTGTAGACATTTCTAATACCCCAATCCAGCAAACAGTTTTCAAGGGATTTTGCAACAGACTCACCTTTGTGTGATGTGACAGGGACAAATGAAATAATTTTTTTATTTAGCCTCCACTCTTCATCTATAAAGTGAGCAGTAACTACCATGTAGTTAATTCTCTGAATAGAAGTCCAAGTGTCAGTAGTAATACTGACTCTTTGAGTGTTTCCCCTAAACATGCACTTCAACTTGAGCCTTTCCTCTTCATAAATCAAATTGATATCCCTACTAATTGTCCATCTTGATGGAATCTTAAACCTAGGACAACATACCAGAATGAACTTCCTAAATCCAGGACCTTCAACAAATCTAAAAGGGAGTTCATCTATTATAATCATTTCAACTAAGGCCTTCCTAATAGCTTCTTGATTAAAGACCCAAGTTCCTAACTCACCAACAGTAGCAGGAGATGCATCAGAATTGGTAACAGCTTGAAAGGTCAGAAGTGATTGCCTTGTGTCTTTTGAGTGAGGGTTTTTAAGACAGTTAAACATGTGGGTTCTCAATGATGAAGTACCATGTTTTTTGGTCTCACATTTATATATTTTGGCACAATATATACACTTGCCCTCAACAGTAACATTATTCTCATCAACAATCTTTTCAAAATGATCCCACACAGGAGATCTGGATTCAACTACCTTCCTTTTCTTCGGAAGAACCGCAGCAGTAGGTTGCACATTCTGTTGATCATTATTTATCTCAACAGTCTGAGCTTCCACCACTGTAGATCCATGAAGTGAAGAGTTGGATGGTTGACTACCAGACTCTATGATATTTTACATCTAAAGAAATGGAATACTATCAGTACAGTGGGAACCATTTCAAAGAATGTCAGAATTAGAGAAATCCAGAATCAGAAGACAGGCAGTTCCTAACTTCATCATTTTTCTAAATTTCATAATTGGGACTTTAAGGAATTAACTATTAAGGGTCATACATCCATAAACTTATAACTTATAAGTTATAAACATAGTAACATACATGGATACAATCACAGTATCACATTAATCACACAAAGTGACAAAGAAATCCAGAAATCAGGATGGTGAAAGCCTGAAGTTTACATTCATCATTTTACTGGATTTCACAATTCGTAGTTACAAATGGGGCTTCCACCATTTTCACCAACACAGGAAACATCCAACAGCCAACAGGGGTTAGGGACTTAGGGGCTTCCACAAACAATACAGACAAAGTATAATCAACAAGTGTAAGGGACTTAGGGGCTTCCACAAACAATCACAACTAAGTGATTCTAAAATGTCACAGTCCATATAATCATAGAAACCCTATTCAAAGGATCAAAAATTCACAAATAAGGGACAAGTGACATGCAATCCGGAACTTCTCAACAGATTCACATTGTCACAGTCATCAGAATCATAGAAGCCCTAATCAAAGGATCAAAAATTCACAAATAAGGGATAAGTGACATGCAATCCGGAACTTCTCAACAGATTCACTTTGTCACAGTCATCAGAATCATAGAATCACAAATAACAACAACGTATCACAATATATAAGAGTATAATCTAAGTATGTCTAAGATTAGGGTTTAGAGATTACTTCGTTTCTCCAAATCAAACCCCCGAGAACAAAGGGCTTCAAATCCGTGAGACCGTGACAGCAATCTACAATCCACCGCACCGGCCACAGGTCGTCCAGACTCTAGAATAGGGCTTCTACCGAACAATATTAGCTAGCTTCCACCGGAGACTCAAACTCAGAGAGAACGAGAGAACTCAGAGACTCAGAGTCTCACAGAGTCAGAGATCTGGAGAAGAAAGAAGTAAGAACTAACTAGGGTTTCAGATTTCAGAGAAGAAAGACGAGACTCACGAGAGAAGTTCAGAGAACGACTCTAGAGAGTTCTCAGAAGTCAGAAGAAAGACGAGGAAGCTGCGGAAATGAGTAGGGTTTCCTCCAAAGGCAACATATATACACCGCTTACACGACGTCGTATACCTTAGGGTATACGCAGTCTTACCCTAATTCGAGTTGTCGGACGGGTTCGGGGGAATTTTATAACCCCCAACCCGCCTCGTTCTAACCGGCTACGTGGCGTGTGAACGGTTCGGGTATGCTAATTCGGGCTCGGATTCCACCCAAGTGCATATATTCGGGTTCGGGTCGGTCGGGTTTTTCGGGTGGGTCGGTTTATGCACAGCCCTATGAGGGATGGGATTTTCTAGAGAATTAATTTCCAACTCATCCATTCCCTGCAAAACATCATCTTCACACGTATCATTAGTATCACAAAAATCAATATGACACTTGTTACCATTTTGTGCAATTTCTTCGTCCAGTGCATCATTCTTGATCTGTGATTTTTCATCAAATACCACGTGTATGGATTCTTCAACCACCATTGATCTTTTATTCAAAACTCTGAATGCCTTGCTGGTAGCTGAATATCCTAGAAAAATTTCTTCATCTGCACGCTCATCAAAAGCTTTTAGATGCAATTTATCATTAATATGAATAAAACATTTGCATCCAAAAATATGAAAATAACCAATATTTGGTTTTCTCCCTTTATATAGCTCATATGGCGTCTTCTTGTACTGCTTATGGATCATGCTTCAATTTTGCGTGTAACAAGCAGTGTTGATAGCTTCCGCCCAATATCGTTTCGGGAGACCGGCAGCACTAATCATCACTCGTGCGGCTTCTTTGAGCGTCCGGTTTCTTCTTTCGGCAACACCGTTTTGTTGCGGTGTTCTTGCGGCAGATAATTGATGAGAAATTCCATGTGAATTGCAAAAAGCTTGTATAACTCCATTCACGAACTCTGTTCTGCGATCCGTTCGTATTTTTGATATTTGCAATTCTTTCTCATTTTGTAGTTGCTTCAACAGCTTCGGTAGAACTTGCTCAACTTCATTTTTCTTCTTGAGAAACACGGTCCAAGTGTACCTGGAAAAATCATCAACAACAACGAGAGTGTATTTCTTACCACTTACACTTATTGGATCAACCGGTCCAAATAAGTCCATATGTAGTAAGCTTAGCGGTCTTGACGTTGACTCGTGTGTCTTTGATTTGAATGATGATTTGATTTGCTTTCCGCGTTGGCATGCATCACACACTTGGTCCTTCTTGAATATGATATCTGGCAAGCCTTCTACTAGATTTTTCTTTGCAAGCTGATTGATAGTCTTGAAGTTTAAGTGGTTGAGCTTTCTGTGTCATTCCCAATTAGCTTCATTTGAATTTCTGGCCATTAAGCACACTGAATCTTTGCTTGTGCTCCAATCAACAACATACATATTCTTTCGTCTTTTTCCAGAAAGAACAATCTCATTTGTGAGCTCATTTTTGATTAGGCAATTATCTTTAGAAAATTCTACAAGATAGCCCTTATCACAAAATTGACTAGTGCTCAACAAATTAAATTTTAATCCTTCAACGAAAGAAACATCTTCAATCTTCAAACCATTTTTCTTGATCGTGCCAACACCTTTTGTAATTCCATAATTTTGATTTCCTCCGAATATAACTTTTGGTCCATCGATTTCTTTGAAATTCACTAGATATGATTTATTTCTAGTCATGTGGCGTGAGCAACCACTATCGATGTACCAAACATCCTGCAAAAAAGATTAATTAACTTTAGGTACCCATACTTGCTTGGGTCCTTTACTGTTAGTGATTTTTGGTAACCAAACCCACCTTGATCTTATTGAATTAAGATGAGGTGATTTGTAACCATTAGAGACACGATAATCATAACTCACATTAGAAAATATTTTTGGCGCCGGGTTTTGAAAATTATTTTTATATTTTGGCACCTGGGAAGAGAATGGTTGCTTTGGTCTATAAAAAGTATTACATCTATTGCACAACCAATCTTTTTGAGTGGGATGAAATTTCCCAACTTTATTTCTAGAAAAGCTTCCCTCTTTTCTATGAAATCTTTTTGCACTTGACTCTTTGGCATATCTTTGCTTGATGAATTTTTGTTGTTTTGCCGTATCATAGAATTGTTTCGGCCTTTCAACTTTCAACTTTGCATTTGTTTGATAGCCAAGTCCTTGTCTCATCGTGCTATTCTGACTTTTAACAAATTTTACCACTTGAACTTTATTATTTAAAGTAGTAGTAGAATTAGTCAGATTTTGAGGGGTTTGAGAACATGTGGAGTCATAACCAATTCCGGTTCTATCTCCTGATGGCTTTTGCATGCTCACCATTTTATCTATTATTTTAGACGAATTAGTGAACGTAGCAATAGTAGCTCTAAGATTATGTTCTCTAACCTCTCTAGCTTTACACTCTTCTTGAAGATGAATATTTTCATTCTTCAATTTACTCACTTCAAGTAAAGCATTTTGCAATTTTTTATTCATTTCTTCATTTTCAAGAATTAGAATATTATTGCGCTCCTTGAGTTGAGGATGAGTGAGCATAATCTCTTGACATTCTCGCATTAGATTGTCAATAGATTCACGAGAAAAAGAAGAATTAACAGAATTGAAAGAATTAGATGTTACCTCTTCTTCCTCTGCGTCAAGAGCCATAAGACAATCTTCACTTGTACTCAACTCAATTGACTTGCATATTAGCGCCGTATCATCATCCGAACATGAACTTTCATCGCTTGATGATGAATCCTCCGAATCATCATTTTCGTTTGGTTCGTTGCTAACGAGAGCTTTTTTTTTTTGTCGCGCTTGAACCTTTTGCTTTCGGATTTGTTCGGCGTAGATTCAACATTTTTGCCTTGATACTTGCTAACGATCGGATACAGACAATTTATTTTAAAATGTCCGGGTTTGCGGCAATTGTAGCATAAATCCTTATTTTCTTCGACTTTTTCTTCTTGTGTTATGCGAGAGATGAATTTTCCACGAGCAGAATTTTTGTTGTCTCCTTTTCGCATAAACCTTCTAAATTTTTTAACAAAAAGAGCAAATTGTTCGTCAGTCATAAAATCAACATTATTTTCTACTGACCTGGAGGTTGACGGTTGTTCGGCCATTAGAGCAGCATTTCGAGCTTCATGAACATCATCATCTTTGGCCTTCATTTCGAACTCATATGCTTTTAGATCACTAAATAATTTGTCTGTAGACAACATTCTTAGATCTCGGTGATCGCGCATAGCCGTAACCTTCATATCCCATGCAGATGTAAGCCTCGTAGGATTTTGAGATTAATTTTTTTTTGGCTAATATTTTTTCCAAGATCACTAATCTCTCCAAGAACTTTGATCATTCGAGCTTCCATGTCGGCAACACTTTCATTTGAGAGCATTTTGAAATCTTCAAACTTCTTCATGGTGATTGTGAGCTTATTGTCTTTTTCTTGTTCATCTCCTTCGCCAATCTTGATGAGAGTTTCCCATATTTCTTTGGCAGTGGCACACTTTCGGATCTTCGGAAATATTGTATCATCAACGGCTTTGAATAGAATATCCTTGGCAATATTGTCAAGATTATTCCGCGTTCTATCGTCCGATGTCCATTCCGGTTTTGGCATTTGAACGTAC